AGATAGATAGATAGATAGATAGATAGATAGATAGATAGATAGATAGAGTATTCAAGCTTTGTTCGGGTATTTTCCCATGTCATTATAGCTGTGCTTTTAAAGTTCTAGCGACGTTACGGCAGAATCTCATCTGCCATCATCAGGCTTGTGTATTGTATTCGTCTGCGTGTCAGGCTTTCGCAGCCGTTTCTGTTTTAAATTTGGTGCTAGCCTACTGCTGTGTTAGAATGGTTTTTTTCCTTCATCCTGATTGGTTGGGAGTCTTGATCTTGGAGTTTGCTGTGTTCTGCTTGATTGGTGTTTCTAATATCTTCTGTCTGTTCTGTAGCATTTTTTTTGTCCTGACTGGCTGGCAAAGTTGTGTTTCCTGCACTGGAGGCTTTTAGTGCAGCTTGGCTTTGGGTAAACGGATGGCTATCATTTATTAGGAAGCTAGGTTTCATCCAATCAGGATGAAGAAAAAACCATTCTAACACAGCAGTAGGCTAGCACCAAATTTAAAACAGAAATGGCTGTGAAAGCCTGACTCACAGATGAACACAATATACAAGCTTGATGATGGCAGATGAGATTCTGCCAAAACGCCGCTACAACTTTAAAAGCACAACTATAATGACATGGGAAAATACCCGTACAAAGTTGAATACCATACATATAAATACCCACAAAAATTTCACACACACACACACACACACACATATATATATAAATTTTAATATTAAATTTATATTTACTATAAAATATTTTTATATTAAATCGATTATCTTTTTTAAAAAAAATCACATTAGTGGTCTTCAGGATTTAAAAGTATGAGTTTGGTGGTCCCTGAAGTCCAAAAGATTGGCAACCCCTGTGTTAGAATGATACTAACCTTTGAAGTAGATTGGTTTCATGAACAACAAATTTCAAGTGTAACTTAGAATGCTATAACATTCAAGGATTCTTTGCAACTTGAATTTTTTTCTACATTGTGTATCAATATGGATTATGGGCACTAGATAGGCAACAAATTGCTCTTTACAAATGCTTTAAAAATAGACTATCTTTACTCTATTTAAAAGAACCATTTTATCAAAAGATCAAGAGTAAATCTATTGACTATTTTGATCCATTTGTCAATTTCTACTGACTGTTGTCATTAATCTCACTCAAGACACAAATGATCAGGCTCAAATTATCCTACTTCAGACACATTATACAAAGACCTAGCTCTCTGGAGAAGTCTCTAATCCTGGAAAAGGTAGAAGGAAAGACAAGAGAATGATGGTGGATAAGACTTGATTGCACAGCAATGGGTATACTATTGGAAGACTTACAGGACCAGGCTAGGGATAGATTATCACAGAGAAAATCTATCAGTCTGCTTTCTGACTTGATGGCACATAACCAATTAATCAATTTTCATTAAAGAGTTATATTCTATATTCAGTTCCTGAAATGCAAAACTTTTGGATACATTAATAAACAAATGTACAAGATATATTATTTTTACATATTACAATTATGATGTCTGCTAAACAATTCAATCAAAAACTGAGATTGTAGTTGCTCTGTCACAAT